CTCCGACATGCGCCGATCACAGCGGGTGGCCTTCAACAACGATTGTTCAAACACTTCCGTTGGGATAACTGCCAACACTCCCAATGACATGAACTGGGGGGTCCCCCAACTGTCGACCAACGCACCTAACGAGGCCACTCTCCAACCCAGCCCACATTGCTGCATCCGCAATGCTCGACCAACCATCGAGAACCGCCCAGTATTCGATAGAAGGGGATGATGGTGCCCATGAGCCAAAATGGACACCATCAAATTACACCAGATCGACCCCAAACAGGAGCGGTTTTCTTTTTTTGCCGACCCATTCCTGGCGCCAAATCTCCGCCCAGCATCCAGACATGCCATGGGAGACCAGCATCCAGACACGCCAGGGAGAGAAGGGGGAGACGAAGGGAGACAAAGCAAAATCATCTCAGCCCAGCATCCAGACGGAGACAACGCAAAGTCATGTCAGCCCAGCATCCAGACACGCCATGCGAGACAAGGGAGACGAAGGGAAACAAAGCAAATCGTCTCAGCCCAGCATCCAGACATGCCATGGAGACAAAGGCGGACAAAGCAAAATCATATCAGCCCAGCATTTAGACATGCCCGGGACAAGGAGGGACACAGCAAAGTGATCCCAGCCCAGCATCCAGACACGTGATGGGAGACAAAGGAAGACAAGACACGCCATGGGAGACAAGGGGAGATGAAGGGAGACAAAATCATCTCAGCCCAGCAGCCAGACACGCCATGGGAGACAAAGGGCTCAAAGACAGACAAAGGGAATCATCTCAGCCCAGCATCCAGACACGCCATGGGAGACAAGGGGAGGCAAAGGGAGACATAATCATCTCAGCCCAGCATCCAGATACGCCATGGGAGACAAGGGGAGACGAAGGGAGACAAAGCAAATCATCCCAGCCCAGCATCCAGATACGCCATGGGAGACAAGGGGGGACAAAGGGCGGGAATCATCTTGGCCCAGAATCGTTTCTATGCAAGAATTGAGAACCACTCACAGCAAAGCTGTTTGGGGAATAAATCTCAGCCCTCCCATCCACCCAAACAAAGACTCAAACGACGTCGTGTTATTACGGCCATTGTGGCCTTCGTGAAAGAAGTTAGCTACGGCAGGCGATGGGGCTCAAGGATGGGTTCAGCACCGATATGCCCAGCAACTTGCTGAGTTGAGGAGCCAGCCAGAGGCACAAGAGATTGAGCTCAAGAAGCTTGATGCTGAGCATCAATTGATTTATGGGAGTGCAGCGCGGAGGATACATGCACATGCGACAGCAAGCACTTCATGAACTCGGATGAGAAGTCACTGGCTCTCAAGCAGGACGTGAAGCAGCCTTCCAAAACAATCAAAACAGGCACAAGGGTCGATGCTTTCTCAATCCGGAGAACTCTGGCTATGAAGCCTGCCATAGACACATCAAACGACGCTCCACGCATCAAGAGATCATCACTAAGGATGCAATGGAGCACCGGAACCAGGGCGAGAGGAGCTGATTCAGAGCATGCTGGATGGCACTCCAACCTTGGATGGCATGGCAGGGCATCGATGGCAGAAGCATGGCAGCTTGTTGAAGTGTAGCAAGTCCAGGGCCCAAATCAGCCAGAAGAGTGCCAAGCAGAAGATTGCTCAGAGCGCTGCCGCCCGTGTTGAATGCAAGTTCTCCCTGAAAGTCACAGGTCTGGATGCTGTGCTGGCGAACGGCAGGCTTGGGTGCGCCACCAGCGTCGGCCGCAATAAAAAAGACGCGACTTGATTTCCTGAGATCCTCGTCGAGCTGAAAGCTTGAAGTGAGAGGACTTGAGAAAGCCGCTTTTGACCAAGAGGTTGCAGAATTTTGAAGCAGAAAAGAACCGAGCCCAAAAGGAGAGAAATTATACAAGCATAGACCCCAAACAGCTTCAAAACGATTCGTTTAGACCAATATCAGTCAAAAATCGATTTCTTGGTACGCCCTACTTTCACCGCAAGAGCAAACTGCTTCATTAATGAATTTTTGTCGGCATTGACATCGCTATTTGTTCGGCCACACTCCTCTCCAGTAAGCCGGGCCACAGAGACCAGCCACAGAGTTCCGCGGCCAAGACAAGGACAAGAGGAGGACAAGACCCGGACACAGAGCCGGGCCACAGAGCCCAGCCACAGAGTTCAGGGGCGCGGCCAAAACAAGGACGAGAGGAGGGCAACAAGAGGAGGACAACAAGAGGACAAGGCCCAGCCACAGAGCCCAGCACAGAGGACAAGAGGAGGACAAGAGCCCAGTAACCCGTCCATAGCGCACGAGCACGCGCGCGCTCGCCCTGCTCTCTCTCTCTCTCTCTCTCCCTCTCTCTAAGTGTTTCTTTCTCTGTCTTTCTCTTTGCACGCGCTCTGACTGCGTGGAGCGTGAGCGCGCCCGTCCATAGCACACAAGCGCACGCGCTCGCCCTGCTGTCTTTCTTTCTTTATATCTTTATATATTTCTTTCTTTCTTTCTTTCTTTCTTTCTTTCTTTCTTTCTTTCTTTTTTTCTTTCTTTCTTTCTTCCTTCCTTCCTTCCTTCCTTGCTTGCTTGCTTTTTTGCTTGCTTGCTTGCTTGCTTTCTTTCTTTCTTTCTGTCTCTCTCTCTCTCTCTCTCTCTCTCTCTCTGCGCGCGCGCCTTTCTGGAGCGTATTGCGCGAGTGCGCCGTCCATAGCACACGAGCGCGCGCGCACTCGCCTTGGTCTCTATCCTTCTCTCTCTCTCTCTCTTTAAGTTTCTCTTTCTCTGTCTTTCTCTCTGCAGAGCGCGCCCTGAGCGCGTCTTTCTAGAGCGTATTTCTGCGAGCTCGTCCATAGCATAAGAGCGCGCTCGCCCTGCTCTCTTTCCTTCTCTCTCTCTCTCTCTCTCTCTCTCTCTCTTTCTTTCTCTTTAAGTTTCTCTTTCTCTGCCATTCCCTCTGCAGAGCGCGCCCTGAGGGCGCCTTTCTGGGGCGTATTTCAGAGCGCGCGCGAGCGCGCCGTCCGTAGCGCGCGCTCGCCCTGCTCTCTTTCCTCCTCTCTCTCTCTCTCTCTCTCTCTCTTTCTGCCTTTCTGAAGCGTATTTCAGAGCGCGCGCGAGCGCGCCGTCCATAGCACACGAGCGTGCGCCCTGCTCTCTTTCCTTCTCTCTCTCTCTCTCTCTCTCTCTGTCTCTCTCTTTCTCTTTAAAATTTCACTTTCTCTGTCTTTCTCTCTGCAGAGCGCGCCCTGAGCGCGCCTTTCTGGAGCATATTTCAGAGCGCGCGCGCTCGCCCTGCTCTCTCTCCATCTCTCTCTCTCTCTCGCTCATTCTCTTTAAGTGTTTCTTTCTCTGTCTTTCTCTCTGCGCAGCGCGCTCTGAGCGCGGCTTTCTGGAGCGTGACACGCCATCCAGAGCACGCGCAGCGCGAGCTCTCTTTCTTTCTTTCTGTCTTTCTTTCTTTCTTTCTTTTCTTTCTTTTCTTTTCTTTTCGTTTCGTTTCTTTTCTTTCTTTCTTTCTTTATCTGACAAGGCCCAGCCACAGAGCCCAGCCACAGAGCCGAGCCACAGAGTTGACAGACTTCAGGGGCGCGGCCAAGAGGAGGACAAGGCCCAGCCACAGAGCCCAGCCACAGAGTTGACAGAGCTCAGGGGCGTGGCCAAGAGGAGGACAAGAGGAGGACAAGGCCCAGCCACAGAGTTGACAGACTTCAGAAGCGCGGCCAGAGGAGGACAAGAGGAGGACAAGGCCCAGCTACAGAGCCCAGCCACAGAGTTGACAGAGTTCAGGGGCGCGGCCAAGA